ATCAAATTTGTATCCTATGTTTGTTTAGTCATGGAATTAGATGTCTGGATTGGACTATTTTTAGTTATCCAGTGTTTGTTGGGATATTATGAAGAATGATAAATGTTCAAATGACTATTTTATCCTTTTCAATTATTTACTAAGTAATAGCAACTTTAATATTTTAATTATTTTTAGATAGATTATATAAAAATTTATTTTATTTTAGCAAAAAAAAAACCAAAATAGTAACGTGTTCTCCTGCCATGAGAATGATAAAACATATGTCTTATAATAATTTATCCCTGTCCCACTCAAATGGTTTCGAGTGTTCGTCCTCATTTGATATAAGTTACGTGGCGTTCTATGCTACTCATGAACAAACTTATTAATAATTTATATTTTTTATTTAAAATATAATTTTAAATTAACAACATTAAAAAAATAATTTAATTTAATATGTAAATTTAATTTTTTAATTGTTTGCTAAGTAATAGCATGGAGGGTAAAATGGACATTTCACAAAATAATCTCATGGGATATCAATCCCATGGTTTCTATCCCACCCTCTCCCATGAGATAGGATAATCTCATATTTGTGGGATTAATAGTCTGGAGAGACTATTAGTCTAGAGCAAAAAAAATGAAACAAACAATGGACTATTAGTCCGGTGGGACTAATAATCTAATCTTACCTCCTAATCCTTCAAAACAAACACACCCATAATGAAGTATTAATAATCCTATTAAATTAGTGTAGTATTCACTATGCAATTGGATTAATATCCATTGGATTAATAATCACACCCTTACCCCATTACTAATAATCCTATAAATTTGTTGGATTAATTATTCATTGGATTAATAATCCTAAACCAAAATATTAAAACAAACATAGAATAATTAAACCCATAAATTAATAATCTCAATCGTATAGTCTAATCTATCCAATTAAACATGCCTTAATGAACAAACACATTAACTAATGCGTTTTTCTATTGGTAAAGTATCATGTGATCTATATTATCTAGTGAGAAAATGTTTGAGATAACACAAAATACTCTCATAATTTGACCTTGAGATAATATAGTAGGTGTCAAATTTTAATTAGTTACGCAACCAACCATATGATGTTACCTTTCACATCATCCACATCATTATAGGTAAATTTGTGAAATCTAGATTGGGGATCTCTACTTTGTTTTCTAAGAGAACGGTTAAGATGGTGCCACGTCGCCCACTATGGGCGGCTGAGATCTGTTGAATATAAACAATAATAATAATAATTTTCAAACGTCATAGCTGTCAGCTTGTCACCCTCTCTATGCATAGCATACATACACACATATGGTGTCTCCGTTTGGAAAGTGAGTTAGTTTTTTAATTTTTTTTTGACTATTTTAACTTGGGTTAAAAAGTTTTATTTGTGAATGATTTTTTAATTTTTTTAATTTTTTTTGTAAGAAAAGAGTGTAATGATTATGAGTTAGAAATAATGTTTTATTTATTATAACTAAAATAACCTATTTTGTCTTTTGTGACTAAAATAACCAAAAAAGCTCTTTGCCTAACGATAATACATTCACATACACATCTCATTTTTAATATGGAAAGAATTATTTTCCTTTACTTGGATATCATATTTTAATAAAATATATATATTAATATATTAATTTGATTTTTATAAAATTAATATATTTTTAAAAGATATTGATAATTTTTTTAAAATGAGACTAATATTTAATGTATTTAATAAAATTTTAAATTAGTAATTCAAAATTAATAAAAATTTACATAATTAAAATGACTTGTATGTGAATGTACATAATTAAATTTACATAATTCTCTAAGCACTTTTTAATAAAAATATTATTTTTATTTTCTAGGAGAAAACATAGATAAATCTATAAATAAATAAAAAGAGAGAGAAAATGTAGAGACTAAGTAAAAAAGTTATCAAAAAATTTATCAAACACTTACGTGGATGCGAGACCCACACCATGTTAGTATTTAGTATTTTTTTTGATAAAATATTTAGTATCTCTAATATTTTTGTTAAATTATATAATAAAAAATAAGATTTTCACCGGACATGAGCTGAATTTACAATATATATATATATATATATATCCCAAAACTGGTTTTCCCTCCCAGACCCATCTGTTCGGTGTCTAATGTAAATGGAAGATACAAAAATTACAAAGGGTAACGTTAGGGATCCTAACAAAACCACTAAATTTTTTATCAGACACTCACATATATAGCAATGCTAGGGTGCCAAAGCAGGCATTTATAACTCAAACCTACAGTACTAGCTCATGGATAGTTGCTTCAGAAACCATGATGTGGGAGGGTTGTGATTCCTCGAGTTTAGTCGGTATGGAGTGCAAGTATATCTGTGTGGGATGCAAGTTGAATTTGTGTGGGGGGTGTTAGTCTATGTGGGGTGCAAATCCAATCTATGAATTAATATTTATGCAGTTTGAATATATTTTTTTATTTATATGATTTGAATTAATATTTGTATGGATGAAATATTATTTTTATTATATGGGGTTTGATTTAATATTTGTATATTTGAATATTATTTTTTTTTTATTTTTATTGCGTAATTTAACAGAAATACTAGAGATACTACATATTTTATCAAAAAAATTACTAAATATTATCGATATGTATGTATGCAATGCTATGCATAAAGAGCGAGAGGACAATTTTGTAACTTGTGCAGTGGTGACAGGGTCTGATGTGAAATTTTTTTTTAAAAAAAATTCAACAAATCTCAACCGTCCATCTCTAATTAGGTGACATGCCACCAACTCAACCGTTCCTCGTAGGAAACACAGTAGGACGCCTCAAGGAGAGGATCTGAATTTAAATTTGAATTTGAATTTGAATTTAAATTTGTGGGTGTGTAGCATTACTCTATGTGTGGCAAGTAACTTATTGGTGTGGTATTTAGGGATTCAAATTTCATTATTTCACACTTCTGCCATCGGAGGGTAGAAATTAGGAACCTGGGAGGGTGTTGTGCCTTAGAGGCTCAACAGAGTGTTGTAAGGCAGTGGGGGCATTATAGAGGGAACTTAACCTCTATTATGTAGCCTATTATATTATTGGCCAGAGCAAAAAAAAAGGACAAATTACGTTAGTTATATTATTTTGGTACTAGTAATATCAATTGATTTGATTTTGACTTTTAATTTTTTATTTGTGTTAATTGGTCTAATTGATTATGTCGGTGAGGGTTTTTGACAAAAATGGTCACAGAGTACGTTGAAGTTATCTCATTGAGTTGAGTAAATTTATAATTTTTTGTTTCTGAAAGCATGAGACGTGCTTCTCATGTTCTCATTTTTTCATTAAAAATGTTATAAAGTTGTAATCAAATTGAAACAAAATCATAAATTGAAGCCTAAAATCGAACTAATTAAAATTATGAGAATTAAAATGACACAAAAACCAAGGTATAAGAACTATCAATATAATTTGCTTAAAAAAATAATGCTGAAAATCAGTAAGACAGTCACATACAAAATCTCTTTTTTTTGGTAAGCCGCATTCAACATCATATAATTTAGTGGACATTTTACTTAGATTGTTGTAATTTTTGGTTCAGTAGTGGACTACACAATGCAAGAGGACTATACTATAGGAAGACTTGATTATCTTTTATAGAAAATAAGAGACAAAATAATTATGTATTCTGTTACATTATTGGAATGTCACACCGTATGCCTCATAAACTGAGCTTATTAGGTAATTTCTCCTACCCTACCGAGGTAGTCCATAGTATTCTTTATGCATCATGTGGTATTGGTTACGTGGTGCTTCATACTACTTGTGAACAAACACATTAATAACTTGTCAACAGAACTTGTTTGTGGTGTTAATCTCCTGATGGATTATGTGTTACATGATGTATTGTGGAGTCATCACGGAACTTACGCCGCATAATGCATACAGAGCATTGAATAATTTTTAGTAAAATGTGGTGATGAATGACGGAGGATCATGAAAATAAAAAGGGCATATACATAGAGAACAGGGACAAGTAGCTTATTGATGTGGTATTTAGAGATTCAAAATTTCATGTCCAACTTCTATCTTTGTCGTCAGAGGGTAGGCGTCATGGGTTGATGTCACATAACCTCTATTTTGTAGCCTACAATTGTTGGACCAAAAAGATTAGGCTATGCATAGCCACAAAATTATCTTACTTTTTTTTTTTTTTATTAAAAAACCACCTTCCACCATCAAATAAATTAGAGCAAGTTTTACTTAGATCCTTGTAATTTATTTTTAGTCACTATATAATGGGAGTCAAGCCTTCCCTACCTATAACACCGCCTAACTTGAGTTAAGGTTAGAATCGATCTTCACTCGACCTCAAGAGATTTTGTTAGTTTCAATTTAAATTCAATTGTCAACTCCTTGTTAGGGATTTGGATAGAACAAACACACCTGACCTCCATAACATGGGATTCACGAAAGCCATGTTGTGTTGGAGTGGTTGTTTTCCGTCCAACTCCAAATCCCTAATGGGAAATAACCATTGGACTTAATTGAAACCAATTAGCATGCAATTTATTTTCAAGGGCCTAATCTACAAAAGTCCTAATTAAAACACACCGGACGAAATAAATTATGACTCATGACCATGAGTCACCATATGAGAAAATGCTACACATTAACATTTCTAACTCACTAATCACTATGCACAAAGAAGTATCACATGTATTTATTTATGTAGGCTCATTATTTTGTATAATACAGATAGCAAGTGAATCCGCATAGGCATTATTTACTATGATCTTGTTTCACCATCCCAATTCTTCCTTGTACTATCTCCCAAATTATTCTACCACATGATAAGTCTTTTTGACTTTGATTACGTCTTCTGGATTGAACCATCCTAAAAAAAAAAAAAAAAATTATCCTTAGGAATTTCAAGAATCCATTCTTAAAGAGGCATATTAAACATTTTTGTATTCTTTTTTTCTGTCTCCTCAATATGGCAGGCAACTATATACGAGACCTTTAAGCAAGTGCTCCCATGGAGTAAAAAAACGAAGACAGACGGGCCCGTTATTTGAACTATTTCTGGATTTTCACTTTGAATCAACAGGAAGTCCTCCCACTTTCATCCTTTAACTTTGATATTTTCATGTGATTGAAATTGTATTAAAATGTAATATATAACTAATTGTAATTGCCTATACAATATAATGTCTCCGTTTTACATTTTGCATGTACAAAGGGAACTCTAGTTCTTTTGTCGTCGGGTGTAAATTACACTGTCCATCCTCGAGGTTTGGAGAAAACACAACAAAAATCACAATTTTGGATTAATTACATCGACTTCCCTTTTAGTAAAGCTAAAAGATTGGAACTAACACAACTATTGTGAAGACACAATGATATATAAGGTGAAATATACATTTTAATATAAAAAATACGACGATATTTTTGGATTAATTACATCGATTCCTTTTTAGTAAGGCTAAAAGATTGGAACTAACACAAATATTGTAAAGACACAATGATATATAAGCTGAAATATACATTTTAATGTAAAAGATACGGCGATATCCCCATCTATATTACTAATGGATTTCTCGTGAAAATGGGGCTCAATGTAATTATATGAAACTTTTGGAGCTTATTGTATTTTTGTGAAATTTAATTAAAGGAGGTTAGTGTAATTACTCTAATTTTGGGTATGATATATGGAAATGTTTTGCTAGTTGGAAATGGGACAATATATACTTGGTTTGTTTTGCCTATTTAGAGCATCTCTAATTGTTCACTATTTTTTTCATCAAATCTGAGTAAAAAAAAAAAATTGATTTCCTCAATTTGATATCACACACTCCAATGGTGCTTTCATCAAAACACCGGATGTCCAGGTGGACGATCGGCCGGTTGATCGGCAAGAGCATTTTAGGGCTGTTCTTGAGCTTATTGATATTAGCAAGCTGAGCTTCCCTACTCTGCAGCATTTCTTCGAGCAGGTTGTCTTCAATTGAAGTATCATACACTTTCCCTTCACCAAACCCAGAAGGCTTGTTCTCAATCCACTTCTTCATATTCATCAAAGGCACAAACATCTCTTTATCTTCATCATCATCATCATCTTCAAAGTCATCATCTAGATCTTCCATTTCAAAGAGCCTATTATTGTCTCCTCTTCCTCCACTTTGACTCTTTAAAGCAGAAACACAATTTAGTAGGAATTTGATGAAGAACAGGACAGAAATTGAGATGGGTCAATCCATCTGAGAGAAAAGGGAGATAGGTTTGGTGGGTTTTGGATGGAAAAGGAAGAAATTGAGAGATGGTGTGGTGATGGGTGGTGGAAACCCTTCTAGGCTGAGCATTGTCGGGGGCTATGTCTCTCTCGAAACTTTCTTTTCCTTTTCAATTTTGTGCAGTTAACCGGATGACCGGGTGGACGTCCGGCCGGTCGTCCGGTGAGTCCCAGCCCAACGTCTACGCACAATAAATTGATGAACGCTTCCCAGTTTCTCAATTTGGTGAAACATCTGATGTTTTTTCAATTTAATACCATTTTGGTGAAACCATTGGAGCACCAAAAGTATCTCTTTTTCACCAAATTTGAATGTGGTGATGCATCTAGTGAACCATTGGAGATGGTTGTCTTAGATGATGATGGGATACTTACTTAAATTGATTGCATCCGTGTTTTCACCCGGATTTATTAACCTTAAAATAGTTAAAACATTATTTGGACAAACCTTTTTCCTTGAAACACAAAGACAGCACTCTCCTCCCCTCGCCCCCTTCCCAATCCAACCAACAAAAAAAAAAAGAAGGAAAATGTCATCTGCAATAGGCACCTAACTCAGACTGAATATATCTGTCAAGCTATTGTTTTCTTTCTCACAAAATGAGCCACTTTACATAGATTCTTTGCTCTAGCAATACGATTAATTCCTTCCTAATTAGACACCTCTAATCAGCTATCTTTGGATTTTGGATTTATCAATTCTTTCACTTCCTCATCTTTTTATGCTTTCCCTTTTCTGTTCCTTTCCCTGAAAAGTTCACCTTGATAAATGATAATGGCATAAGAATTTCCATCAATACTTTTTTTATTTTTTGGTGTGGATCAGCATGCAAAGAAAAAATATACATATATATATATATATATATATATATTAACTCGAAATAAAGAAATGCATTGAGGTAATAGTGATTAAGGAAAAAAGTTTCATCCCCAAATGGCACATTCTCAATCTTATTTCAAAACCCAAAAAGAAACACATTCGAGTTTTGGCAAGATACCAACATCAATTTTCGTCACATTTATGCCCCAAAACATTGAAAACACAAATGCGAAAGTATATAAATGCGCTAGGCTGCCAAACAAACTGATAAAAACATAGATGGGAAGTTCTAAAATTGCTCTGAAATTTCTCTCTTCGGATCATCACCACAATGCCATCAGCTAACAATGATACCAAACATAGATAAAATTAATTATAGCATACAAAACATTCCATGATTCTAATGAAAAACAATTAAAGCATTATCACACCGAGTTATTTCTTTACTATCACCATCATCATCGTGGTTGATCATCATTGTCTTTCCAACAAACCAACATGTAGACACATCGCCAAATAATGTACAGCCTCACTCGTTTCTCCGCCAAAGCCTTACCTACCGGAACCCAAACTCTTCCTAGTCGCTTCAGAGAAAGATTTGGAAATTTCAAGGCCATGAAAGTGTTTCTTCGAGTAGAAACCTAACAAGTGAAAAATCAAATGCTCTTATTGATGAAAAGGCTTCTTTAGCAACAAAACCTATTCTGGCTTGTCCTGATGGAGATAGTCTGGCCTCTTTCTTATATGAGGAATCTCACAAGCGAAATGGTTGTGTTATGTGGAATTTACAAGTGTTTGTTTCGAATATTTGTCTTGTTGTGAATTAAGTTGTGTTTGCTAAGGTGTAAGGTAAGTTTGAAGTTTTGAATTTGATTCTTTTTTTGCTTCTAATTATTGCATTTAATTTGCTGAATTGGCTTTCTATGGAGGTGCTCTCGGTTAGTTGTCTCCTGAGTTAAACCAAGAAAGTCGTTCTGTTTGGTTTTGCATTCAACATTTGTATTTTTAAAAATAGTAAAAAAATTAGTTTGGTTAGAATAAACACCATACACATGTTTTTTAATTTTTAAAAACTTTTTTTCTTCACAAAAAAAGAAGAAAATAATATGACGATGATGATTGTTCTTAATTTTTCATTATTTTTCATTCAATTAGTTTTTAATAAGTAATATTTGAAAGCAAAACTAAGCATAGCAAGTATTGTTCCAAAATACCGCTAGACAAAAATATTGTTCATTGTAGCTTAAATGAACTTATTGCTTTATATATATATATATATATTAGGACAATTTTTTTAATATTTTATTCGTTATTTATTTTGCATATGATGATATATTTTTTTTGAATGCTGCAAAATTTGTGCCCCGAACAGATGGATTTTTGAAGACAATGTTATAGTTTATGTTAACATCATGTTAATTTTGCTAGAAGAGGAATAGGTAACAGCTAGCTAGCAAAGATAATTAAAGAAAAATTAGTTATAAGTTTCTTCTGTTACATCGCCACAAATTTTTATGAAGTCGGTAATTCGAGTTGGATGTTTAACTCATAATGTCAAAAAACCTAATTAGTACAATCAACCATATATTTTGTCATTATATTAACAAATTTTCCTGACACGGGTAATTTGTGTTGGATGTTTGACTCATAATGTCAAAAAATTTAAGGACAATCATTTGTACATTTTGTCATTTTAGTTTAATGAGATTTCAAGACATCTATAATTCTTCTTATCTAACTTATAATGTGACCTTACTGGTACTTTTGTCGGATGTATAACTCATAATATGAGAGATATAAGAATAAGTTAGTTGCTCTCTTTCTGTTACATTTTAGCCAATTTTTGTGACATTGATATTTTGTCGGATTATGTTTTGAATAAGGTATTGATGAATTTGTATGGTTTTTTTTTCAGATTTTTTTTTGAACTTCAAAATGTAAATATATGACAAGTTGTAAGTTTCACGGTTGCATTTTTAGCAAATTTTTCGAACACAGATGTTTAAGTAGGATAGATGTGAAATTATAAATGTAAATTAGTTGTACTCTTTTGTATTGCATTTTAACAAAATTTTGCGATTGACACTCAGGCCTCATTTGGTATTATTGTCCATTATCCACATTGTGGATTGGGCAGTGCTGTGAGCCCATCACGCCTTTATTTGGATGTTTTAACTCATTTATTTTGTTGGCTCGTGTATCGATAATTTATGAAATAAAAATTAAATTGATCTAATAGTTATAATCATATGATTTATTAAGTTTCTCTTTTAACAAGTGAATGACTTATTTCAAAATTGAAACAATTCTCATTATTTTGAATATAAATACAGTTTAATCAATTGATTATAATGATCGGTTTAATTTAATTTTTTTTTATGTGATATGCACATATAGATTTACAAAATAAAATGATTGAACCATTTAAGCGGACCTATGATAAGCCTTACGAACTTAAATAACATTTATCTAGTTAAGATTTGGACTAGAGACAATCTTTCTTTGCAAAAATATTAGGTATTTAAAAAAATGGTTAGGCTTCTCTTTAGTCCCTAGATTGGAAAGTACTATTTGGCCTTGTGGGGCCTGCCGCAAGTTTGTTTCAAATTTCTGCATCATTCATTTTGTCCTGCCCTGCATTTACATCATCTATGAAGAAATTTAAGTTGATTGGATAATAGTAACCTCTTTATTATATCATGTTTATTTTCAAAAAACTAGATTATTAGTGTGTTATTTAAAATAAACCATCAATTTTTTAGAAATCAAATGCGATAAAATAAAAATATTGTAATTATCAAATTAACTTAATTTTTATCATTGATGATATACACGAAGGGTCATATTGAATAAACAATTTGGATTATTAAAATAAGACTTATGAATGTTCCCACGAGTCTAAACAACACTCTTCAATTCAGATTTTGAATCGAAAAATAGATTAGTTACGAGAAAAATATTTATAAAATAATGTTGATTTTTTTATTATTTTTTAGGGTTTTTTTTTTAAGATCCCTGATATTAAGATTTTATAGTATAAAGGACACTTAATATTTTTATAATGTCTAAGGTCCCTCAACATCAATCCAGAAAAAATTCAATCCAGAGAAAATTCGATTCA